CTCAATACACTGCAGCCATCACACCACTCCCATAAGTCTTTTTGGCACTCTCCCTTCCCAAAATATTTTATCCTTAAAATTGCACAAACAATATTGCATACATGCTCTTGCACCATAGGCACCTTCCTCCCATCCTTCCTGTGCTGTCTGTCACTTTTATTAAATCCCCATTTGAGTCACCGTGCCCAACCAGCACAACATGGGACCACCTGCAACACGTCCAGGAAGGCCCGGCCGTAACCCTTCCGCAGACAACGCCGGCCGGCCGTGGGCAGGACCAGGAGGGGTTCTGGCCTCAGCATCACCAGCATTACAGACTGGTTTACCAATAGTGACACACTGACAAATTAGGGAAACAATATGAATTAGTGTTACCCGGTGAACACTACCAAAAACACACCGAAACTACGACGTTGGTACAACGTTCGAACAAGTTTTAACACCTCCTAACCAGTTATAACAACCAATATAGCAAGTTGTAACAACTTTCTAATACGTCATAAACACGTTAAGCCAAGATGTAACAACTTTATTACAAGTTGTAACAAGCAGAAAATAGAGACAGTTTCGGTTTATGTTTCCTGGTTAGTGACAAAACTCTTGATGCAATAACTGAAACTAAGTTATCTAGATTGCTAACAATTGTATTATTTCTTATTATGTAACAAATTCTATTACACAAAGCGAATCACTTTGCTGAATTAAAGGGCCATTATCAGTGAAAAGGTTTTCCTTGTAGTGGCAAATTAATTTACTAATTTAGTCACAGTGGTTGTGGTTTATAGAAAAGTTTATATAACCCTCCGTCGAGCACTTGATGCCATTGACAGATGTGACATGTCCACGCCATCTGTTGAGCACACTCGACCCCAATTATTTTATGAGGGGAGGTGTGACGATGTCATCGCCAGCTGTTGAGCGCACCTGACCCCATTTTCTGCTCCATGGTGCAAGGCATTGCTCTTATTGACACCTTTGTAGTTTCCTTCTTACTATTCATTTTTTACTTCTCGGAAGTGATGTTGGTGGCACCTTGTCGACATGAATCAGTTCACCCAGGGTAGTTCTGAACTCCAGACCTCTGCCAGTGTGTTGCTGGAGACGCCTGCCAGTGTGTTGCTGGAGACCCCTGCCAGTGTGTTGCTGGTGACCCCTGCCAGAGTGTTGCTGGAGACCCCTGCCAGTGTGTTGCTGGAGACCTCTGCCAGTGTGTTGCTGGAGACCCCTGCCAGTGTGTTGCTGGAGAACCCTGCCAGAGTGTTGCTGGAGACCCCTGCCAGTGTGTTGCTGGAGACCCCTGCCAGTGTGTTGCTGGAGACCCCTGCCAGTGTGTTGCTGGAGGGTAGAAGTAGTGTTCACCGTGACAATACTGTAAAGGACTGACCCATGATGTACTGAGAAAGGTGACCTCACCGGCGTGAGGACCACGGGAGACAGGCTACCTTGAGGCTACCTTGAGGTGCTTCCGGGGCTTAGTGTCCCCGCGGCCCGGTCGTCGACCAGGCCTCCTGGTTGCTGGACTGATCAACCAGGCTGTTAGACGCGGCTGCTCGCAGCCTGACGTATGAGTCACAGCCTGGTTGATCAGGTATCCTTTGGAGGTGCTTATCCAGTTCTCTCTTGACAGACAGACACAGGGAGGGAACACTGAGTGGTGGACGATACAAGACAGGAGTGGACTCGCCGGGTTCACGATCCCAGTCGTCGTGTTGGTGGTGTCTTGTGTGAAGGTGACGCCCGCTATGTTATATTAGGTACATGTGTAAGATGTGTACATAGTTAAGAAGTACACGTGGTGACCGTATGATTTACAGTTAAAAATATAAAGTTTGAGTTAATAGAACCCCGTTACTGCCTAATTGTGTCCGTAACACCACAAGTATTATGGAACAAGCAGACTATAGGTCCTGATGGCTGAGTGGGCAGCGCTCGGTATTCGTAGTCCTAAGGTTCCGGGTTCGATCCCCAGTGGAGGCGGAAACAAATGGGCAGAGTTTCATTCAGCCTGATCAGCCTGTTCACCTAGCATTAAAATAGGTACCTGGGAGTTAGACAGATGCTGCGGGCTGCTTTCTGGGGAATGTGTAACAAAAAGGAGGCCTGGTCGAGGACCGGGCCGCGGGGACACTAAACCCCGAAATCATCTCAATTTAACCTCAAGAAGAAGATAGGATGCCAGCGAAGTTGTCAATTATTGACAATTATTGACAATTATTGACAACAAAGTTGTCAATTATTGACAAGGTTGACCAAGTTAGAATATACTGTGACAAACACACGACAAATAATACAAATAATTATGAATATTATTTTACAATTATACACTTTGTATACATAATGGGGCACCCGGGCGCCGCCGGGTACCCTTTCATGTTGACTACATGTTGTAACAGTAAGAAATTTAACACGCCAGGCAACAGGAAGTGACTCACCAGACCAACAAGTGACTCACCAGACAACAGCAAGTGACTCACCAGACAACAACAAGTGACTCACCAGACAACAGCAAGTGACTCACCAGACAACAACAAGTGACTCACCAGACAACAACAAGTGACTCACCAGACAACAGCAAGTGACTCACCAGACAACAGCAATTGACTCACCAGACAACAGCAAGTGACTCACCAGACAACAACAAGTGACTCACAAGACAACAGCAAGTGACTCACAAGACAACAGCAAGTGACTCACCAGGCAACAGCAAGTCACTCACCAGACAACAAGTGACTCACCACACAACAGCAAGTGACTCACCAGACAACAGCAAGTGACTCACCAGACAACAGCAAGTGACTCACCAGACAACAACAAGTGACTCACCAGACAACAGCAAGTGACTCACCAGACAATAGCAAGTGACTCACCAGGCAACAGCAAGTGACTCACCAGACAACAACAAGTAACTCACCAGACCAACAAGTGACTCACCAGACAATAGCAAGTGACTCACCAGGCAACAGCAAGTGACTCACCAGACAACAACAAGTGACTCACCAGACCAACAAGTGACTCACCAGACAACAACAAGTGACTCACCAGACAATAACAAGTGACTCACCAGACAACAAGTGACTTACCAGACAACAGCAAGTGACTCACCAGACAACAGCAAGTGACTCACCAGACAACAGCAAGTGACTCACCATACAACAAGTGACTCACCAGGCCAACAGCAAGTGACTCACCAGACAACAGCAAGTGACTCACCAGACAACAACAAGTGACTCACCAGGCAACAGCAAGTGACTCACCAGGCCAACAGCAAGTGACTCACCAGACAACAGCAAGTGACTCACCAGACAACAGCAAGTGACTCACCAGGCAACAGCAAGTGACTCACCAGACAACAGCAAGTGACTCACCAGGCAACAGCAAGTCACTCACCAGACAACAAGTGACTCACCACACAACAGCAAGTGACTCACCAGACAACAAGTGACTTACCAGACAACAAGTGACTCGCCACACAACAGCAAGTGACTCACCACACAACAGCAAGTGACTCACCACACAACAGCAAGTGACTCACCACACAACAGCAAGTGACTCACCACACAACAGCAAGTGACTCACCACACAACAGCAAGTGACTCACCAGACAACAAGTGACTCACCAGACAACAAGTGACTCACCAGACAACAAGTGACTCACCAGACAACAGCAAGTGACTCACCAGACAACAAGTGACTCACCAGACAACAAGTGACTCGCCACACAACAGCAAGTGACTCACCAGACAACAGCAAGTGACTCACCAGACAACAAGTGACTCACCACACAACAGCAAGTGACTCACCACACAACAGCAAGTGACTCACCAGACAACAAGTGACTCACCACACAACAGCAAGTGACTCACCAGACAACAGCAAGTGACTCACCAGGCAACAGTGACTCACCACACAACAGCAAGTGTTAGTTGTGCTGGCCAATCACAGGCGGGTCTCACCTAGTACGAGTCACTGTTGTCGTTGTTGTTAAAGATTCGCTACCCGGAACAAAACGTTCCAAGTAGCACGGGCTATGGTGAGCCCGTAGTGCCTTTAAGAGTCATCCTCCCACCTGTGCACACCTAACACGGCCCCAAGTTCACTTTGACTCTGTTATTAAGACACAGAAAGTCAGCGATTTTAATTTAATTCAGTGTTAAGTTTCTTCAGTGTGAGGGAGAAGCCTAGTCAGTGGGCCATCATGGCGCGCGTCACGGCCCAGTTTCGCGCCAAGATTTTTGAAGGACGACAACGCAGTGTTCCACGGATGAAGGAAAGCAAGGTGATTGGTCACATGCTAGCAAGATTGGCCAATGAGGAGGTGACAAGGGTCAGATAACACGCTGGGAGCATCTGAGTGGTGTGGCTCCCCTTACACCTTGAAGTTTCAGACATGAACGGCGCTAATTGGTCAGCTCCGTGAAATTAGTGTTTGTTGGGCCGGCCCGTTCTCGGGCTGAAGATAACGGCTCAAGAAACTGTCGATCTATAGTGCTTTATCCTAACCTACCAGAGGATCCACCAACAGAAAACGGGACATTATGTAAATTTCGTGAGTAGCTGCCATTTTGTACTTCGACAGGTTTTGGCCTTTGGTAAAGTATAGGGCACAATGCGACATGGTATCAGGAGGCCGGGTTACAGGAGCACAAGGTGTGTTCCTGCCCGAAACGCTTTACGTAATAGTGGGTTTAGGCATTGTATGTGCTAACTCTATGTATAAATCCATCAATGTTTGAATCTCACCTTGTATGTATGTACTTTACCTGAATAAACGTTTGATTTGATTTGATTTGAGATGTCTGCGAACGAGAAGACGACATCGCTCCATAAAGAGTGACCGACAAACTCGCTGGGAAAGTTTTCGACAACATATGCAGCAAGTTCCAAGAAGTGCAAGTCGAGGACTGTTGGTGAATATAGAATTCTTCTGTTACCTTGAACAGTTGGGCTGAGTGGCCACGCGGCGGGCGCCTCACAGGCCTCGGCGACACCATGCTACGTCATCATGTAGTCCAGCCAGGAGAAAACGTGAGCTGTGAAGTGTATAGTGTTGTCCCGCCACCCAGGAGACTCCTCCACCCGCCAGTGTAGGCGGTGCCGAGTGTGGCGTCGTCTGGGCCTCCAGTGAGTGTGGCGTCGTCTGGGGCTCCAGTGAGTGTGGCGTCGTCTGGGCCTCCAGAGAGTGTGGCGTCGTCTGGGCCTCCAGAGAGTGTGGCGTCGTCTGGGGCTCCAGTGAGTGTGGCGTCGTCTGGGCCTCCAGTGAGTGTGGCGTCGTCTGGGCCTCCAGAGAGTGTGGCGTCGTCTGGGCCTCCAGTGAGTGTGGCGTCGTCTGGGGCTCCAGTGAGTGTGGCGTCGTCTGGGCCTCCAGAGAGTGTGGCGTCGTCTGGGCCTCCAGAGAGTGTGGCGTCGTCTGGGGCTCCAGTGAGTGTGGCGTCGTCTGGGCCTCCAGTGAGTGTGGCGTCGTCTGGGCCTCCAGAGAGTGTGGCGTCGTCTGGGCCTCCAGTGAGTGTGGCGTCGTCTGGGGCTCTAGAGAGTGTGGCGTCGTCTGGGGCTCTAGAGAGTGTGGCGTCGTCTGGGCCTCCAGTGAGTGTGGCGTCGTCTGGGCCTCCAGTGAGTGTGGCGTCGTCTGGGCCTCCAGAGAGTGTGGCGTCGTCTGGGGCTCCAGTGAGTGTGGCGTCGTCTGGGGCTCTAGAGAGTGTGGCGTCGTCTGGGCCTCCAGAGAGTGTGGCGTCGTCTGGGCCTCCAGTGAGTGTGGCGTCGTTTGGGCCTCCAGAGAGTGTGGCGTCGTCTGGGGCTCCAGTGAGTGTGGCGTCGTCTGGGGCTCTAGAGAGTGTGGCGTCGTCTGGGCCTCCAGAGAGTTTGGCATCGTCTGGGCCTCCAGAGAGTGTGGCGTCGTCTGGGCCTCCAGAGAGTGTGGCGTCGTCTCGGGCTCCAGAGAGTGTGGCGTCGTCTGGGCCTCCAGAGAGTGTGGCGTCGTCTGGGGCTCCAGAGAGTGTGGCGTCGTCTGGGCCTCCAGAGAGTGTGGCGTCGTCTGGGGCTCCATGGCCAGAGACAGTCTGAGTTTGAAGTGTCAACGAGCAAAGAAAGGGAGGCGAAGTGTGAAGTTGGAGCACTGCCTCCTAGTGTGAGGAGCGGAGTGTGGCACCCAAGCTGGGCGTGAAGGGCGCCACCTAGTCCACAACTGTAGGTAGATGTTGAATGTTTAGTTGCTATATGATTGAAGGAAGGCTCACTGGTCACTTGTTCTAAGGTAAGAGACCACGCACCGCTCGAAATTGTTCCACTGTAATGCCTGGGCGGCTGTGAGAAGCACAGTTACGGTAACAGCCAGAAGAAACAAGAAGACACGCTGACAAGTCTCATTATACTCTCCGCCAGAAGTAACAACTAACTAAGTGAGCAGTTTGTGGAAACACAACGTTGTTTCCTTTCCATAAAGTTAACATCACTAGGCTGTGACAGCCCTTTGTTATTTCTATATGAATACTGAGTTTAGAGCCAGGGCAGCTGGACGCCAGTGCAAATCCTTGCAGCTTAATTTACTACTGTATTTGATTGGAGACAAATATTTTGTTTGTCTGCAGAGTCCTCTAGAGTCCTGCAGAGTCCAGTACAGCTCGCAGCAGAACAAGAACAGATCAAAAGAGGATTCAATGTGACCCGGCTTTATGAGCCTGGCGGACAGTTGCCAGACGGCCCCAGACCTTCCCGAGAGTGTTGCCAGAGTCCAGACATTATTTCACCTGAATTTCGATTATTAAATATTATTTGATTTCTTTACCTTTGCGTTCCGTGCCATCCCGTCTCCCCGTGCCAGGTGCATGGAGCTGAACATGCGCGTGCACACGGGACTAAGACACCACCACTGTGGGAGAGAGGTTATTTGTTTTGGAGTTTGTGGAGAGCGACTAATTCGTGTGGAGGGCGAGGCTGCGCTCAGCGGGTGTCAGTCAAAATACCGGATGGAAAGACCCCAGGAAGACCAGGCTGAGTCCCAGAATGACCCCGGTGGTGGAGGGGACGACACAGGCAGCCCCGGTGGTGGAGGGAACGACACTGGCAGCCCCGGGGGTGGAGGGGACGACACAGGCAGCCCCGGTGGTGGAGGGAACGACACTGGCAGCCCCGGGGGTAAGTGACCCCGGTGGCGGCGAGGATGACACTGGCAGCCCCGGCGGTAAGACTGATAGAGGGGTAGGGGGGTATGGAGCCAATCCTCCTCCAGGTATTTCACAGGAGAAGGAATGCGCCCAAATTGGCGATCTTGTTATGTGGTGTGCTGGGGGATTGTGGTGTTATGTGGTGTGCTGGTGAGGGTGGTGTTATGTGGTGTGCTGGTGAGGGTGGTGTTATGTGGTGTGCTGGGGGATTGTGGTGTTATGTGGTGTGCTGGTGAGGGTGGTGTTATGTGGTGTGCTGGTGAGGGTGGTGTTATGTGGTGTGCTGGTGACGGTGGTGTTATGTGGTGTGCTGGTGAGGGTGGTGTTATGTGGTGTGCTGGTGAGGGTGGTGTTATGTGGTGTGCTGGGGGATTGTGGTGTTATGTGGTGTGCTGGTGAGGGTGGTGTTATGTGGTGTGCTGGCGAGGGTGGTGTTATGTGGTGTGCTGGTGACGGTGGTGTTATGTGGTGTGCTGGTGACGGTGGTGTTATGTGGTGTGCTGGTGAGGGTGGTGTTATGTGGTGTGCTGGTGAGGGTGGTGTTATGTGGTGTGCTGGTGACGGTGGTGTTATGTGGTGTGCTGGTGACGGTGGTGTTATGTGGTGTGCTGGTGACGGTGGTGTTATGTGGTGTGCTGGTGACGGTGGTGTTATGTGGTGTGCTGGTGACGGTGGTGTTATGTGGTGTGCTGGTGACGGTGGTGTTATGTGGTGTGCTGGTGAGGGTGGTGTTATGTGGTGTGCTGGTGACGGTGGTGTTATGTGGTGTGCTGGTGACGGTGGTGTTATGTGGTGTGCTGGTGACGGTGGTGTTATGTGGTGTGCTGGTGACGGTGGTGTTATGTGGTGTGCTGGTGACGGTGGTGTTATGTGGTGTGCTGGTGACGGTGGTGTTATGTGGTGTGCTGGTGACGGTGGTGTTATGTGGTGTGCTGGTGACGGTGGTGTTATGTGGTGTACTGGTGACGGTGGTGTGCTGGTGACGGTGGTGTTATGTGGTGTGCTGGTGACGGTGGTGTGCTGGTGACGGTGGTGTTATGTGGTGTGCTGGTGACGGTGGTGTTATGTGGTGTGCTGGTGACGGTGGTGTTATGTGGTGTGCTGGTGACGGTGGTGTTATGTGGTGTGCTGGGGTCCCTGTGGCTGGGGTCCCCGTGGCTGGGGTCACCGTGGCTGGGGTCCTCGTAGCTGGGGTCCCCGTGGCTGGGGTCCTTGTAGCTGGGGTCCCCGTGGCTGGGGGTCCTCGTAGCTGGGGTCCCCGTGGCTGGGGTCACCGTGGTTGGGGTCCCCGTGGCTGGGGTCACCTTGGCTGGGGTCCCTGTGGCTGGGGTCTCCGTGGCTGGGGTCCCCGTGGCTGTGTAACGGGGGGTGGGGGGAAATAGCTCTATCTTGTCCATTATTCCACCCCCCAGTTAACTAACGAGGCCGGGGGAAACAGCTCTCTCTAGTCCGTTATCCCGTCCCCAGTTAGCTAACTATTCTAGAGCACTCCCAGAGATCCTAAGGCAACCTCTCTCGTTCAACACCTTGTAACCTAGGTATTTGACTACCTAGGTGCTAAGACTACAAGGCGCCGTAACTTGATCAGTTACCCGAAACTCTAGAGAGAACTCTAGAATACATTTCACTGCCACAAACGTACAAGAGAAAACGAAAGGAAAGAAATGAATAGTGAAGTAATTAGTGAGGGTTTGGGGTGAGAGAGGTAGAGAGGTGGGAGGAGCGAGGAGGGTCATTAGTTGAAAGTGAGAGTTTAGAGAGGGGCGGAGGGAGAGGAGTAGATAGGTAGAAGTAGAAAAGTAGATAGTAAAAGTAGAAGATTAGATAGTAGAAGACGAAATGCTGCCACCATCCATTCAAGACCATTACATACAAGACAAGGAATGGAACTTGTCTGTATCACAATATTCACAAAAGATGTTATCAAGAGGTCATTATTAGTATGTCCCATCTTTATCATGTACTCATTAAATCATGAACCAGTAATCCCAGAGGCTTTCTCACCTCAACTCAAAAACTCTAGGGAACACAGTGAAAGACCATATAATAATAAATTCAACAATTATATTTTTCATGATAAGTATCATAACTTAAGCAATCCAATTAAAATGTTAAAGATTAATATTCAAAGTGAGTCATCATCAAAGAATTTGAGAGCCCTGCAACTTGACTGCCCCTGATCATCACACAACATATGTAAACACGACCAAGTCACCTTAATGTTCAACTCACCAAGTGTCTGCCTATAGCTGGATAGAGAAGTGGGGGGGGGGGGGGGGGTGTCTGTAGTTGACAGAGACTGTCCCGCCCTGCCGGCCACCAGCCTCCACGGGCTAGGCCGTCTTCGCTGCTTTGCTGGCTCCTCTGTTCTTCTCTTAATGCTCTCGAATCGATAGCTCTCCGAGTATATATTGGGAACCTAGTAACTAACTCTGCCCACAAGTAGATAGCCTCAGGCACTCTACCAAGCCACTCCTTAAACGTCGGCATGTTTGAAGGCTACCAGGCTCCAATTATAAGATTAGCAGAAGCAAGGTGAAATTCGCATGATCTGACCTCAGGTCACTTGAGGTCATTAACGCTTAGAGGTGAGAGTCTCAGGTCGACCAAACTGGCGCCTTCTCAAATTCTTGTCTGTGACTCATGTATCTCTATGTATTTTAAATACAACTAAACCAAACACCTTACAGTGTTACAGCTGGGGTCACCGTGGCTGGGGGTTCCCCGTGGCTGGGGTCACCGTGGCTGGGGTCACCGTGGCTGGGGTCACCGTGGCTGGGGTCACCGTGGCTGGGGGTCCCCGTGGCTGGGGGTTCCCCGTGGCTGGGGTCACCGTGGCTGGGGTCACCGTGGCTGGGGTCACCGTGGCTGGGGTCACCGTGGCTGGGGTCACCGTGGCTGGGGGTTCCCCGTGGCTGGGGTCACCGTGGCTGGGGTCACCGTGGCTGGGGTCACCGTGGCTGGGGTCACCGTGGCTGGGGGTCCCCGTGGCTGGGGTCACCGTGGCTGGGGGTTCCCCGTGGCTGGGGTCACCGTGGCTGGGGTCACCGTGGCTGGGGTCACCGTGGCTGGGGTCACCGTGGCTGGGGTCACGGTGGCTGGGGTCACCGTGGCTGGGGGTCCCCGTGGCTGGGGTCACCGTGGCTGGGGTCCACGAGGGTGGGGGTCCCCGTGGCTGGGGTCCCTGTGGCTGGGGTCCCTGTGGCTGGGGTCACCGTGGCTGGGGGTCCCCGTGGCTGGGGTCACCGTGGCTGGGGGTTCCCCGTGGCTGGGGTCACCGTGGCTGGGGTCACCGTGGCTGGGGGTCCCCGTGGCTGGGGTCACCGTGACTGGGGTCCACGAGGGTGGGGGTCCCCGTGGCTGGGGTCCCTGTGGCTGGGGTCCCTGTGGCTGGGGTCACCGTGGCTGGGGTCCACGAGGCTGGGGGTCACGGTGGCTGGGGTCCACGAGGCTGGGGGTCCCCGTGGCTGGGGTCACCGTGGCTGGGGTCCCTGTGGCTGGGGTCCCCGTGGCTGGGGTCCCTGTGGCTGCGGTCCTTGTGGCTGGGGTCCCCGTGGCTGGGGTCACCGTGGCTGGGGTCCCCGTGGCTGGGGTCCCTGTGGCTGGGGTCCCCGTGGCTGGGGTCACCGTGGCTGAGGTCCACGAGGCTGGGGGTCCCCGTGGCTTGGGTCCCCGTGGCTGGGGTCCCTGTGGTTGGGGTCACCGTGGCTGGGGTCCACGAGGCTGGGGGTCCCCGTGGCTTGGGTCCCCGTGGCTGGGGTCCCTGTGGCTGGAGTCACCGTGACTGGGGTCCACGAGGCTGGGGTCACCGTGGCTGGGTTCACCGTGGCTGGGGTCACCGTGGCTGGGGTCCACGAGGCTGGGGGTCCCCGTGCCTTGGGTCCCTGTGGCTGGGG